GAGTTGCAGGTTCGATTCTGGGCAAGGTCATGTTACCTTGGTTGCAGTTTGTCCCTGGCCCTGGTCAGGGTCGTGCGGGAGGCAACCAGTCGATGTGTCTCTCTCATATCGATGTTTCTCTCTCTCCCTCTCTCCCACTCTATCTGAGATAAATGGAAAAATATCTCTGGGTAAGGATTAAAAAATATAAAATAAATAAATTCTTAACATAGTCCAGCCCCTCCACAATTTAACTAAAAAGAAGGAAGTCACTAATTTTTATAGTACTCAGTAAAATTTTACACCAAAGAAATCTATATTTAATCACAATTAAAGCCAATGAACTCTTCTCAAATGTTCTAATGCTACACATACCAATATAGTAACCAGAAAATTATACTCTAAAATTTTCCAAATGTTATAAATTTAGCTACTGCACACAAAGCACATGTATTCAAGTCCTTGCCATGCTAGTGTTCCTGCAGTAAAAAAATTCCAAAAGCAAAGATTTAACTGAGGAGAGCGACATATTCTACTTTTATACAATTTAAAATGCTGAGATTGAGAAATCAGTGTAGTGTCTTAAAATTTTTTTCCTTGCCTATCAAAAGTTACATTAGCCCTGGCTGGTTTTGCTCAGCGGTTGGAGCGTCGGCCTGCGGTACAGAGAAAAGTTACATTAGAATGGTTCAATCACTGAACTAAAACTTCACTTGGAAAAATACATGAATGATGAAAAACATGAAACATCATCTAAGTACTACAATCTCAGTTTCTCATTAAAGATGCCAATATAAAAACAGTGCCTAGCCAAAAAAAAAAAAAAATTTACTTTTTACTGAAAGGTTTTCAGTTTGACATAAATAGGGTATATATATTCAATCTAGTATGAAATTGTGTTATAAATATACAAAACATGACTCATTTGTAATCATCCTTACTTGCAGTTTGGAGGTCGTAAGACAAACCTATGTAGCTTTATTCAAATTTCAGCCTATTAATTTAGGAAAACCAACAACTTAGGTCAACTGAATTACAATATAACTGAAATACTATTTATAATTAAGAGATGCAATTTTTAACATGGCTCACCAACTGGTTCAAAAGGCCACAAGCAGGAATTTCACACCTGCAAGAGAACACATGTGATAATCCTCATAAAATAACATTATGAATATTCACGTGATTTGGCAAGTGATTGTCAAGTTAAATGCCAAACTTGAATCAGTTTGATTTTGCTCTTATCCTAAAATAATTTTTATGTTTCTTTACTCTGTTAACATGGAGAGCTAAAATTGATTAAATCTTTAACAAATGTATTATAATACAATTAAAAAATATTTAACCTACAATTGTCTTTCACTTATGCACTTCATGTATCTCTGAAAAGCTATAGGTGTACAACATGTAAAGTTAAATAAAGCAAAACAAAACAAAATATATATATACACACATACATACATATTTTGTTTTTGAAATGTTACAGAAAAAATATATGTAACACCATATATAAATATATACATGTGTAAAATTATGTTTTCCACACACAAAATTTTTTTTTAAGTCCTAAAAATGTGAAGAAAAAGTGAAATGAGACATATCTTCCTATAATGTTTTCTATTTCATAGGCAGAATATAATCATGTGTTATTTGTGTAAATAACAATTAACAGAAAAAGTTTATAAGTCAAATCTTATTTTCCTATATAATTAGTTTATAATCTTGTATCTCTCCACTAAAAAAAAAAAAGTCTGGCCCAATAACATAATTATACTCGTACTTAAAAATACGGCAACTACTTTCTGAATATCTGCTTTAAAAATAATTATCCTAGACCTAGCTGTTGTGGCTCAGTTGGCTGGGCATTGTCCTGTGCAGGAAAGTGTTGCTGGTTCAATTCCCGGTCAGGGCACATGCCCATGTTTCAGGCTCAATCCCTAATAGGGAGCGTGCAGGAGGCAGCTGATCCATGTTTCTCGCTTTCTCCCTCTCCCTCTGCCTTCCTCTCACTCTAAAAATCAATGAAAATATTTTAAATAAATAAGTAATTATTCTATAAAATACTAGTACTCTAATATCCTAATAAATTTTACTGATTTGTCTCTCAAAAAACACAAAAGGCATCTTTAGAAAGCTCAAAGAAATTTATTTTTCCATAGTACTTTTGACACTGCTCACTTTTTCAGGCAGATTTACACTGGAATTACTAGCTACTTTCATTTTCTACAGCCTTAATAACGTAAGATCCTGCCCTAAAACATGATAGATGTGTCCTAACATTCTTCATGGCTTTACTAACATTTTCATTTTGATTTCTGATTCCAAGCATATGAAAGGACTATGTGGTAAAGAATCTAAAAAACAGTTTTTTTGTTTTTGTTAATCCTCAACCGAGGATATTTTTCCATTGATTTTTTTTTTTTTTAGAGAGAGTAGAAGGGAGGACGGGAGGGAGGGAGGGAGAGAGAGGGGGAGAGAGAGAGAGAGAGAGAGAGAGAGAGAGAGAAACATAGATATGAGAGAGACACATTGATTGGCTGCCTCCTGTAGAACTCCAACTGGGGCCAGGAATTGAATCTGCAACCCAGGTACGTACCCTTGACCAGAACTGAACCCAAGACCCTTTGGTGTGTGGCCGACGCCCCAACTACTCAGCCAAACTGCCCAGGGCTCAAAAACAGTTTTATATTCATAATATTTTAGAGTTCAAAAGTCAGAGTTATTAAAAAATGTTTCAGGTAGGAACAGAGACACAAAGTTGTAAATTTACTATTGCTAATAAAGGAAAATCATGCCCTCCTTGAAAATTACAATTGCAGGGAAAAGGGCAGCAAATTTAAACAAACGGGGAGCAGAGGGCACACAGGGAAGTAGGGAAAGAGGAAGCAGAAAGGGAGAGGCAGAAACATGTCCCATCACATGGTGAAAGAGATACATTTTTTGAGGGTGAAAAAGGGTCAGAGGAACAATTTCACCGTCCATCATACCTCACAAAAACAAAGAGACCCATGAAAAAGGCACCAAAATACACACTAGCACCTACACACAACTTGAAAGTTCAAAAATTAAAAGAAGTAGCTTGAAGAAACCACCATTTATAAAAAGCCAGAGAAGGGGCTGCAGAGGACAGCAACTGCATTTCAACTCCACTCTTTCTTCCCATATGAAAACAAGACTTGTTCTTTTCCTGACCAGTCATCAAATTATCACACATATATATATAAAAAAAGAATGTGGCTTTCCAAAATAGAAACAGCAGATTAGAGACATACAGAATATCAATAAACAGGTAATTATCCACCGGGCAATTTATTTAGACACCTATGATAAGATTTCTACCTATTGTAGAATGGTAGTTTACATAAAGATATAAAAGTGTATACACATGCATATTTAAGGTAAACTACCATAAAGTGGGAATACAAACCTTCAATATGAAGACCACTGTTTTGCCTCTAGAGGGCGAACTTGGTCTTCTGGAAAACTCAAATAAGAGAAGTTACTTTCAGTCTTTACCAAAAAAAAAAGGTAAATTTAAGATGCTGAGATAGCAAAGATACCCAAACGTTCTGTTAACAGAACCCTTAGTGTCTCTAATTTTTTATGGTGCCCCACAAACCAACAAAAATAACTAATTGTGCTGTTTAATAAGTATAGTAGTTATGTCCAAAAATTATTTATGTCCTACCATTTGAAAAAGTAGCCATTTGAAAAAATAATACATGTAAATTAAAGAAAAAGTCTTATTTCATTCTTAAATAAGCACAATTAATTACTGATTGAGCATCTATACCTGTTGTGCACTGTACACTTTCGCAAAACTTGAAATCAGATTGGTCATCATCACCCTCATTTTTCCTGTACCACAGTGATTATTATAAGAACAACCTCAGAAAAACTAGATGCACAAAGATATGAAGCCACAGAAAAGAATATCGTGCCATATAATATTGAAACTGCATACCACCCTGAGCTAACAGTGTACCTATCTGACAGATGTGGAGTATCACTGAGCTTGCCATGGTTCCCCCATTAGCTACAGCACACAGGTGCCTGAGCACACATCTTGGGAATCAGCATAGTTTTAAGTCCCAGTAGCTATTTAAAGTAGTCAATATTTAAATTAATTGTAAATAAAATTAACTATAACTAATGTTTTTAAATATCTAAAAATTATTTTCTTATATTACTTGGAAAACCAGTCTTTCCTTTGAGCAATAAAAGGAACACTATTAAATTATTAAAGGAACATATTTTTTCCAATTTGAATGATTATTGACTTAATGTGATTATTTTAAAATGCTGGTTGTATTAATCTGATAAACTACAACTGGGAAGCAGAGAAACAGGAACTTTATTATATATCTCTTTCTGAACAGCAAGTTCTCCCAACTTAAAAATACTACAAATTGATCCAGTCTTGCTGCTTACCAGTCTCACTGATCTCCTAGTACTGAGGAGCATAAGTTTAAAAGTCAGATAAGATCTGAAATCTTAAAACTCAAGAATATAAATATTAATAGAGACATTAGAAGAATTAGCTCCTAAATACGAAAAAAAAAATTATATACCCACCTATCTCACAAAGTCCTGGGTTTAGGCAGAACACCAGAAATGTAACCAAGGAAAGAATTCAACCTCAAAATTTACTGTTTTAGTTTTTTACTGTTTCATAAGTTCACAACTACCTATATCCATAAAATCTGTGCTGCTGGTAAATAACATCGTGTTCAATTAGAAGTCAAAGTATGCGGTGAGAGTAGTTAGCTAATAACAAAACAATAAAAGGCTATCCAAGGAGTACTAAGAAACAAAGTCAATATTCTATTACTTTAAATAATTTTCATAACCATGAAAGATAATTGAAAATGTTTTTTAAAAAAATATTAGGGTTACTACAAATATCTATAATCCCCAAATTTTATATGTCCAAATATATAAATGAAAGTAGGATATAGTTAATTATCAAGAAAAGGTATTTTAAAAGCTAAGACAAACCACATGGCTATATTAGTACTTACCTGCTGAATAATTTTGGAAGTTTTCTGAAGATTCTCTCTGGGAGGAACTTTACCAAATAATTTCCAACCAGGAGCACTATGGACAACTGATTTGAGTTCCTTTGTCCTTTTTGGAAAAAGGTTTCTGAAACACAGAAAAGTGACATGGATTGTGTTTTTGATAACCAGGGAACTCCTTACTAATAACTTCTAAAGTATGTTTATTCCCAAGACAAACACAAAATAATTTAAAATTATTTCTACTACTTATACTACTATTAGACTAACAAGACTCAATTAAGAATACCTGGCTCTATAGAAATATTAGAAAATAATCAAAGAGACAGAGAGACAAATAAATTGGAAAGAAAATCATAGCTATAAAAAAAGACAAATATTTGCTGTGACTCAGATACAAAGTGACTCGAACTGACTATACATGCACTTGACAATAAAAGCCAAGAAATTGAGAACAACAAAATTCAAGAGAACCTATATGAAATATGTAAAGGTTAAGTAAAAATCTTTTGGGAAAATATTATTTAATGATTTCCAGTAATAATTTGTTATTGTTTGTAATAAAAGGGTATCAACCGATCCTCCACTGTCATAATATAGGTACAGATGGCCCTCATTTATCGTGGTTAATCAGTTCCAGACTCTACCGCGATAAATTAATTTCCACGAAGTAGGATTCTTTATTTATACAGTCGTCCCTCGCAGTATTTTAAAAAACTGCAACAGAGTGAAGCCGCAAAAGTCAAAGTGCAAAGTGGTGCGGGACGACTGTGTACGTAAATTGTTTTTTTCTAGGAAGAAAGTGTCTCTCACTGAAAAGGATAAAAGGAAAGAAGCAAAATAAATAAATAAATAACCTCCATAATAAAAAACCTGGTTCCAGTATGTATTATAGTACTATTACAATCATAGTAAGTTCAGAATAAAGTTTAAATTCTCATTAAATCATAAAAATCAAAACAAACCCAAAAACTTTAAATTTACATATCCCAAACACTTTGGTTACTTTAAGAAATTTCCACAAAAGAAATATGAACCCACAGGTATCCAATTGCTAAGTAAGGCCATTAGATAATGTTCCACATTAATTTCTTATGCCACCAAGAAATTTTGGATTGGGTTTTCAGTTTATCTCCTGCTATAAAAACAACTTATAATGTAGCTAACTGGCATACATCTGCACTAAAAAGTAATTTTAAAATACTGTTACAAATGTATGGAGTTGTATTAAAACAACATTACAGGCCCTGGCAGGGTAGCTAAGTTGGCTGTAGCATTGTCCAGATGCCGCAAGGTTTTGAGTTTGATCCATAGTCAGGGTACATACAAGAATCAACCAATGAATGCATAAATAAGTGGAACAACAAATCGATGTTTCTCTATCTCTTCCTAAAATCAATTTTAAAAATTGAAATAAATAAAATTAAAAATAAAACATTACAGATCAATTGGTCTTCTACCAGTTAGCCTAGGAAGAGAATCACCAGTTTATTACATTTTAAGGGGTAAAAAAAACCCAATGAAAAGGTACACAAATAAGCCAATAATGTGTAATACTCTGTTGTTCTCATGCGCCATCCCTTGTCCTCCCTATCAATTGTCAGGGGACTGGTGAAGTAGAGGTCCCAATACAAATAAAAGTGTGAGACTAGCCCTGGCCGGTTTGGCTCAGCGGTTAGAGTGTCGGCCTGCGGTACGGAGAGACCAGGTTCGGTTCCCGCTAAGGGCACGTACCTCGGTTGCAGTTTGTCCCCGGCCCTGGTTAGTCGTGCGGGTGGCAACCACTCGATGTGTCCCTTCACATAGATGTTTCTCTCTCTCTCTCTTCCTCTCTCTCCCTCCCGCTCTGTCTGAACAAAAAATGCAAAAATGTCCTCCGGTGAGGATTAAAAAAAAAAAAAAAAAAGTGTGAGACTAGCCCAGCCAGTATGGCTCAATGGTTGAGCATCAACCCATGCACCAAGAGGTCACAGGTTCAATTCCCAGTCCAGGGCACATGCCCAGGTTGTGGGCCTGATCCGGGGGCATGTAGGAGGCAGCCAATAGATGTTCTTACTCATTGATGTTTCTATCTCTCTCCCCCTCTCCTTTCCTCTCTCTCTCAAATCAATTAAGAAAAAAAAAATTGGGACTAGCTTCCTCCTTACCACCTTTTCAAGTTGAAGACAGACAAACAGGCAGACACACACACTTCCCTTTTTCCTATCCCCCAAGAAATTAAAATTTCTTAAATTTAAATCAACACTAAAGGCTTCTTAACAAAACAAACCAAATGTGTCCTAGACGGAAGTAAGGAAAATTCTCTCTCTCTGGATTCCAGAGGTAGAGCCTGACTCTATGAATGAGATTTATATGGCAGTGCTAGGGGAAAGGGTCACTCTTTTTTTTTTTTTTAAACTTATCTTTATTGGTGAATGTATTACAGCTGTTCCTCATTTCCCCCCCATTGACCCCCTCCTCCCCATTCCAGCCCCCCTCCTGCCTTTCCCCATACTGTTGTCTGTGTCCATTGGTTATGCATATATACATATAAGTTCTTTGGTTTATTTCTTCCCATCCCCCAACCCCTTTCCCTTTGAGGTTTGTCAGTCTAACAACCAATTTGTACTTCTTAATCCCTTCACCCATTCTCCCAACCCCCCTCCCATCTGGCAACCAACAAAATGTTCTCTGTATCTATGAGAATGTTTCTGTTCTACTTGTCCATTTTGTTTGTAGATTCAATTGTCAACAGATATGTATTCACTGCCATTTTGTTTGTTCATATTTTTTATCTTTTTCTTCAAGACGACTCTTCAACATTTCATATTATAATGGTTTGGTGGTGATGAACTCCTTTAGCTCTTCCTTGTCTGGGAAACTCTTTATATGGCCATCGATTCTAAATAACAGCTTTGCAGGATAGAGTAATCTTGATTGTAGTTCTTGCTTTTCATCACTCTGAATATTTCTTGCCACTCCCTTCTGGCCTGCAAAGTTTCTTTTGAGAAATCAGCTGACAGTCTTATGGGAACTCCCCTGTAGGTAAATAACTGCTTTTCTCTGGCTGCTTTTAAGATTCTCTCTTTGTCTTGAACCTTTTGCATTTTGATGATGATGTGCCTTGGTGTGGGCCTCTTGGGGTTCATCTTGTTTGGGACTCTCTGTGCTTCCTGGATTTGTATGTCTGTTTCCTTCACCAAGTTAGGAAAGTTTTCTGCCATTATTGTTTCAAACAGGTTTTCGATTTCTTGTTCTCTCTCTTCTCCTTCTGGCATCCCCAAGATGCAAATGTTGGCACGTGTGAAATTGTCCCAGAGGCTCCTTACACTATCCTCATTTTTTTGGATTCTTTTTTCTTTTTGTTGTTCTGATTGGGTGTTTTTTGGTTCCTCATATTCCAAATCGATGGTTTGATTCTTGGGTTCATCTACTCTACTACTGAATCTGTGTAAATTATTCTTTATTTCAGTTAGTGCCTCCTCCATTTCTGACTGGTCCTTTTTTATGCTCCTGAGGCCCTCACTAAGTTTGCTGAGGTTCTCACTAAGTCAACTGAGCATCCTTATAAGCAATGTTTTGAACTCTGCATCTGTTAGGTTGCTTATCTCCATTTCGCTTAGTTCTTTTCCTGGAGTTTTGTTCTGTTCTTTCATTTGGGACCTGTTTCTTTGTCTCTGCATTTTGGCTGCCTCCCTGTGTTTGTTTCTATGTATTACTTAATGAGAGGTATGAGGCTAGCTGAGACCAGATGCTGCTTGTTTGAAAGATCTTAGGAAAACTTGAAGCAGGATCCAAGACAGGCCAATCCAATGGTAAAGCAACTGGCAACCACTTGGGTGGGCCTGAGAGTTGTGGGGCGGGGCCTCAGGGAATCACCAGGATGGGGCCAACAGTGTGAGCCAGGTTGCTGGAGTCCCAGATATGGCGGCTGTCTGTGGTCCCAGGGAAGGGCTCACCAAAGGAACAAAGGCCTCTGACAGCACGTCTGTCCAGGAGAAAGCTGCCTCTCCAGCCCTCGCTCCAATGCCTAACAACTCAGTTCTCCATATGTCTCTGGTGCCTTTCAAGCTGCCTCCCCCACGCTGGAGCCTGGAGGGTGCGAGTCCGAGTAAGTCCATACGTGGGCCCTTTAATAGGTGCTGCCTGGAGCTCCAGCTGCCTCAGCCTCCCTCAGTCTCTGTTCCCGCTGGTTTTTCCAGCCAAAAGTTATGGGGAGTCTCTTCCTGGCACTGGAACCCTGAGCTGGGTGCCTGGTGTGGGACGGGGACCCCTCAGTCCTCAGGGAGGACCTTCCCAGCTGAGGTGTCCTCCTGATTTTTATCTGCCACAGTTGGTGTGGGACCAGTCTGTTGCACCTCCACCCCACCTACCAGTCTCGGTGTGGCTGCTTCTTTAACCTTGTAGTTGTAGGATTTGCATTCAGCTCAATTTCAGGAGGTTTTGAATGATGGCTGTTCTGTAGTTTACTTGTAACTTTGATGTGGTTGTGGGAGGAGGCGATATTGTGTTTACCTACGCCGCCATCTTGACTGGAAGTCTCTGTTATTCTGTATTCTACTAGTTTTTTTTTTTTTTTATCCTCACCCGAGGACATTTTTCCATTTTTTGTTCAGGTAGAGTGGGAGGGAGAGAGAGGAAAAGAGAGAGAGAGAGAAACATCGATGTGAAAGGAACACATCGAGTGGCTGCCACCCGCATAACCGACCAGGGCCGGGGACAAACTGCAACCGAGGTACGCGCCCTTAGTGGGGGCCGAACCCGGGTCTCTCAGGACCGCAGGCCGACGCGCTAACCGCTGAGCCAAACCGGCCAGGGCTGTATTCTACTAGTTTTGGGAGAGGTGGAAGGGAGAGACACTCCTAGCTTCTCTCTGTCCCCTTATTCATCTCCACCCGTGGAGCTGAATTTTTGTGCCAGACACTGCTGCCTAACAGCAGAGACATTTCAGTTTGTTCTGCTTTCCAAATATGAGGCTAAATTAGTTTCCTCTGCACCCATCTGTCCCCCTATCCCCACAGGAAAGGCCTTGCTGTGCTAGTAACTAGCTGGATAAATTTTAATGAAGTGACGTATTAGGAGGCCCACTGCAGCCAAAGGCATGTCTTTTGATCCAGATTTCATCAGTATTAAAGCTGATGTTGTGAA